CTTTGCATGTGCGCAATGCGTCCCTGATAAGTGACTGATGTGCACGGACCATGTCCTGGTCATACAAACATTCCCATTGGGGAACTTATCATGATTTGCCTCCTGACTGAAGTGACCTTACCATATGGACCTCAGTCAGGTTAAAAGCCATATTTAAGTTAAGTGTGTCCAATCCTGCTCCTGAAGGGTCCGCTTTCCTGCAAGGTTTAGCTTCAACACACCTACCTGGAAGTTTCTGGTAATCCTAAAGACTTTGATTAGCTGGTTCAGGTGTGTTTAATTGGGGTTAAAGGTAAATTATGCAAGAAGCTGGCTGTCTTAGCAGGATTGAACACCCCAGATTATACCATTGTCTACTATGGTGTTAATCATAAACCTTGCTGAACAAAGCTACATCATTGCTTCACAGTTTTGTTTTAATTTGCTTCAAATTAAATATGGCATTAAACTTGACTAAGGTGAGTAGACCTAGCAAACATGGTTACCTAATAATGTCTGTGCTGGATATGAGTATACTGTGCTTAATGCTGCTTTCACGTGCTATCAGAACTTTACTACTCACACTTCTGAGGTCGTGATTACGGGCTTGTCGCATTCAAGTGCTTAGTTGACGGAAAGAACAGGAACCATGGATGACACCAGGTTTATTCTTGCCTATTAATTGGGAAAATCGTATTTAAGCCAAAATATTTAGGATCCAATTCATTGACAACCATATAAACATTCACCACCCTATCTGTAGTCAGTCATTTCTGTCAAATACAGGCTATCCTCACTGTGTATGAAACATACAATGCTTCAAATGATTTCATATATGTACATATGCACTACTTTAACGACAATAAAAGGTGATGTAGCGGTTGTGGAAAAAACGAATAAAGAATAGCAATCACAGCAACAATCATTCTTCCCTCCACCATGTTTAAAGTTTATGACACCCATCTCTGGAACTTGAGTATCAAAATCATCCCAGAGTTTCCCAGTGGTAAACACGACTTGAGAGGTCGTTCATGTCCAATATTTTAACTGGAAAACTCATATTTACGATAATTCTGATAGCACATGAAGGCAGCTTTAAACTGCTAGATATACTGATCAGCTTATGAGGTAGCTAAGAATTGAAAGCGGTGGTTATCAATCATGTAGACCCAACCAGAAAGTTTTTTTTTTTTTTTGGGTTGTGACCAAAAAACTTTATTGTCCTTTCTTTTGGGCGCATGGTTCACTGATTTTGAACAGAGCCGTAAAGACTGAAAACTTTATTTGTGTTTTTTTTTTGTTTTTTTTACAATGCTATATCATTTCAGTCTTGAACAATGTTTTGGTCAATTTACGTCAAAACATTTTGGGATAAAGTCTCTAAAATAACCTTTTTTTTTCAAGCTTTCAGAAAAAAGAAAAATGGATAAATGAGAAATCAATGCCCTTATCAACTTAATTTAGTTACAAAAGAATGAATTCTGAATTCAATCCTCTGGATCCTCTACCGAATTCGAGCATAATAGATTTAGTGGCTGAATCTGATTATTTGTGTATCCGATTGGAATCTGATCTTAACGATGGACTGTCCATTGTGTATCGCAACTGTTCCCCGCTTTGGTTTTCCGGATTATCTTTGGTTTTTATGGCAATGACGTTGCATTAGTACGCCAAAAATTGGGGTTTGCTATACAGATGTTGTCTTATTTTCAACATGATAATGTGTAGAACTGTATCAGGCTTTATTCCGTGCTGTCGTCTCTGCCGGTTTAAAATCATGTCTCCGTCGTCTTCTTTCTCGACCGGCACTTTGCAACAACAGTTTTGTTTCTACAGCGACTCAGCATGTTTCCTATTACAATGTATGACGTGTTTACGTTTTACGTGGCGTGAGAAAGTCGCATAAACCACGCGAAATCCGTTCAGAGCAGTCCGACTAAAGCCCCGTTCACACTACACGCGACTTTGTCGCTGCAAGTCGCCAGTCGCTGGTGATGAGGTCGCTAGTGGGCGTTCCCACTACTGGTTGCCAAGTAATGTTTGTGAGTGACATTCACGGATGTTACTCTATGTTAGACAACAAATACGTTTTCTTGCCGCTACAAACAAATATTTTGGAAGGAAAAGTCTAAATATAAATGGAATCAGTACATAAAATGCACAATATTAAAGATGAATGAGACGTGAGTGCTCTTTGCCATCGCGGCTATTTAACTGCAGAAAACGGGCAAATACCGGTCTATCTGGGTTCCCGAAACCATTCAGGCATGGAGTCAGTACGTACTGTTTGTACACGGAGATATATCATAAATAATAGGACAGTTTCCGACTGCTAAAACGACCTTCTCGTTCAACTTGCCTCGGTCAGACTCATCACTGAAGAGTGACGCTTTCCACTGACTTCACTCCTATTGGTTGTCGCTCCCGAAAGTCGCTCTGCATTTGCATAAAGTTAAACAGATCTCAACTTTGTCGCGTCGTCAGACACGCCCCATCTAGTTGCCAACGGTCGCTGTCGCGCGTGTCGCCGGAAGTCGCCCGCTCACCATTGAAATGAATGGTGTCGCGTGTAGTGTGAACTGGGCTTGAAACGGATTTCCAGAAATGCGATTTGAATAGGATTTCAAACCACATATGAATGTAGCTCGAAACTGATTCGTAAGTGCCGGTCACACTTGCTAAATATGGATTCCAATCGGATATGCACACAAATCTGATTTGGACTGACAGTCTGAACGAGGCTTCAGAGTTAACCGTTGACACGGACCCGGAGGTGTTGTGAAAATGAAATGTAGTTGTATATGCTCACTGTCTCCATGAAGATGATACCATTCCTCTAATGTAATGGGAATTTATTGATCTGTACAAAGGAAGAAATAAACAACATAAATCAATATTGACATCTCTTTTATGTCATCCAGAGCAGAAAATGTGGCGTCACAGATTTAAAATGGTTAAAAAGTAGGCCTACATATAAAGGCTTTGAGTAAATGTCATTTGAAAATGTTAACCTGCATGATTTTGTCTTCCACTGCTATGGAAATTACATTGATGGCATTTGATGAAGACCTGCTGGGAATTATAATGACTTTCACTCATGCTGTGCGTGAGACAATTAAGACAAGAAACAAAATTCATACTGAAACATGTCATCTATAGAGAGAGAACAGTAGGGACACCGTGTGACTTAAATGACTAGCATCTGCATAGTTCCCTAAATACAAAAATCTCCATGATTTTGCAATCCCTAATCCCTAAAATGTTAGATGCGGATGACCATACTGTAGCCTATTATTAGCTTACATTTGATTGCAATTGCAATATATACATCATTTATATATATATATACATCATTTATATATATATATATATATATATATATATATATATGTAGTGGAACTGGAAGTATCATAACTAGTCTTTAAGGAATGTATGCCTACTGAATCTCGCATATAGTCTTGTTTTGACATTCGCAAGAAATCAAGCCAGAAAGCCATGCAAACACTGTCTTTCCTTATTAGGCACTAACATAATGTCTAAACGAGCAAAGACATTCCTCATTACACTATTTGACGATACTGTTAGTGTGGAACACGCCTCCTGAAAGAGGCTGATGGCTATAAAGATGCCAGCTCAACTGCGCCCTCCAGTGGCCAACAGGAGACATTACAAACATGCCATACATCACACTAGTTCACATGCTACCCACCCTATACATACAGTTTGTAAAATCAGTATTCGTGAATCTCAAATTGTGTTTTTTTAATTGCCATACTGTATCTGTTGGATTTTTTTAGGTGTTTGCGCTACGGAAGAGTAACGGTTCGTGATGATTCTCACATTAATTTCATCATTTAAAAAAAGTGAGTAATCCCAGGCCGAATCCACCACAGCATCACTCTTAAAGTCATAATACAATTGAATTAATAAATTAAGGCAGATACCCATGTTTACAAGCACAGTTTTATGGTGTGGTTGTTTCTAGCATTCTGGCTATGTTCAAAATAGCAACATGACATCATGACTTTGCGTAAACATACACGCCACTTTCAAGTCAAGTGGCGTGTTATCGATACGCATTTTGAGCTATCCGCGTGTATGTCCACGCCGAAATCTTTTGCGTGTATGTCTACGCCGTTAAACGTTCGAGTGATTCCGCGTGTATGTGTACGCCGTTAAATGTACGAGCGAAACGAAGCAAAATCTATATCTACATCTGTGGAGCGATATTTCTTTTCCTAGGATGGTAGGAGAAGACTCATAAATGGTATTAACCCCAGTGACGGGTATGTTTAGGGACGGGGTTGGGGTAGCTCATATATTTATAAATACATAATACAGTAATGTAACGTTAAGTCAAAGGCGTTGATAAACACGCTGAAAAGCGATTATGCGTGTTGATAGCACGCCAAAAATGGAAATACGAATTGGCGTGTCATACATACGCCATTTCATGAGATCAGTCTTATACTGTTCAGTATGCATTGCATATGATGTATATTTTCAGAGAGTAAGTAAAACAGTAGGCCTTATTACTCACATTTGAACTGAATTATATTACATTGTAGTCATATCGATCTTGTCACAATAATTCAGTGGCGTCTTCACTTTTATGTTGTCAAGTGGTATTTTTAGTACCCCATAAATAAATTAATACTATTTTCCAGCAATGACACATTAAATTGATCATACAATGTTGCAAAAGATTTCTATTTCAAATAATCCAGAAAAAAAAGTATCATGGCTTTGATCACAGGAATAAATTACAGTTTACTATATATTCACATAGAAAACAGTTATTTTCAATTGTAATACTATTTCACGATGTTACTGTAATTATGATCAAACGAATGCAGCCTTGGTGAGCAGAAGAGACTTCTTTCAAAAACATTATAAGATCTTACTGACTCCAAACTTTTTGTGTATATATAAATATTTCTGCTATGCAATAAAATGATGTCCTTTGCTGGCGAGGGTGTGTAGTAAGACTGGCTGTGTTTAAAATAGCACGGTGTATATAGTTTATGTATACATATGCAATTTGGGATTGTGCATACGCACACATGATTCATTTCAACATTCGACAGTTTATTCATAGATGTGGATGGCGAGTGATCTCATATCTCATAATCGCATGATCCAGACTGGAAGGGAAGGGGATATGTGTGGACCTGTAACCCTCTTGTGTTTGTCCTTCCAGCAGTGACGGAGGAAGCAGCGCTGGCTCAGCCCTCACACACACACACACACAAACACACACACACACACACACACACACACACACACACACACACACTCCTGCCACATCACCAGTCCACCGGGACGCTTCACTGCTTCTGGCTCTAGGCCTCTGGTTATCTGTGATCGCTCGGTAGAAATGTCTACACGACCAAATCAAAACACTGTATAGTGTTCAAATTTGTGAATTATTCAAATATGATAAAGTGAATCAAAGTGCATACATTTAAACTGTTAAATGTTTTCATTAAATAATGAATATTTGGGGCAAAATAATGTTGATTCGTCTGATGTTGACCGTATTTCCTGTAATAGGAACGATAGTTTTAGTTGTATTTTACCCAGAATATTCCTTTAAAGTGCCGCTATTGCGCTATTTTAAGGTTCCTGATTTGGAGTCTCCTACAACAGGTTTACATGCATCCAAGGTCAAAAAACACTTTCATTTTCTTATAATATACATCGCAGCATCAGCTCTTTTATCAGTGTCTGAAGCGGTTCGATTATAAATTCAATCTCACTAAACCTCCTCTCCGAGAGCCTACTCTGCTCTGATTGGTCTACTCTGCTCTGATTGGTCAGATGGCCCAGTCTGTTGTGATTGGTCTACTCTGCTCTGATTGGTCAGATGGCCCAGTCTGTTGTGATTGGTCTACTCTGCTCTGATTGGTCAGATGGCCCAGTCTGTTGTGATTGGTCTACTCTGCTCTGATTGGTCAGATGGCCCAGTCTGTTGTGATTGGTCTACTCTGCTCTGATTGGTCAGATGGCCCAGTCTGTTGTGATTGGTCTACTCTGCTCTGATTGGTCAGACGGCCCAGTCTGTTGTGATTGGTCTACTCTGCTCTGATTGGTCAGATGGCCCAGTCTGTTGTGATTGGTCTACTCTGCTCTGATTGGTCAGATGGCCCAGTCTGTTGTGATTGGTCTACTCTGCTCTGATTGGTCAGATGGTCCAGTCTGTTGTGATTGGTCTACTCTGCTCTGATTGGTCAGATGGCCCAGTCTGTTGTGATTGGTCTACTGCTTACAGCATGTCTTGGATAGAAATGTCCAGTAACGAATTTCAGCTCAGGATCTTCCTCAGTACTTGATACAAAGTGACACGTAACAGTAACGATAGCTGGCATCATGTAAATCTGTTACAAACATAGGTTAGTGTAGGAAGTAATACTGGAATTACCAACGACTCGTTTCAGGCAGTCCAGAATCACTTCTTTCTTTTGAAAGACAATAACTCCATGTATCTGCACTCTGATCTTTGAAACTTTGGAGACCTTTTACATTCAAAAACTGCTGTATTACACACTACATGAAAGGTAATATCTTTTTAAAAAAGCATAATAGGGGCACTTTAAGATTTGTGTGATTCTTTTGTTTTTTAATTACAGTTGTATACTGATTTGACTGCGTCATTATGGCATATGTTAACAATCCATTGATGATCCCTGTGCCGATATACTGGACAGCAGAAAGCATCTCATCAGAAGTAGAGTCTGTCTGAGATGGCCGCTGGAAAGTGGGTCATTATTTGCATGCGAATCCACCAGTGCGGCTCCATAGGGTTGTACCGTGTGTATGGCCGCTTGGACATGATGGCATCCGTGATGTCGTCTAAAACCGGCTCGACTTCTCGCTGGCCGCTGTTGCAGTAGGAGCGCATAAGAGCCATGTACTGCTCAAAGTGAGCTTTCCCATAGTCCTCCTGGACACCAGGGGGCGCCTCCTTCCACAGCTTCTCTGCTGTTGTCGTGACTATGTCACGTGTTAGGATGCCCGTGGCCACGATAAAGTTTCCGGGCTCAATGACGGAAACATTGACGCCCCAAGCCTTCATTTCATACCTGAGACAGTCAGAAAAAGCCTCAACTCCGTATTTGGAAACACAGTAAGGAGATCGGAGAGCGTTTCCCATTCTTCCGTACATGCTAGCGATGTTCACCACACGACCTGTGACCAAAAGACAAAAAAAAGTGAGGAGCGGTGCAGAGGAATTTAAATAACTGTTTTCTATTTTAAAATATGTTAACTCTTTCCTCGCCATTGACGAAAATGTCCGTCTTTCTGTGTTTTCACTGTTATACGGTAGGGGGCGCTATTACGCATCTTCCGAAAGAGTACAAAATCTCCTGATCAAAACACAGGCGAAGAAGAAGCAGAAAAAAAGCGATCTCATATGTAAGCAGATGCATATGTAAAATATCATGATCATTAACATTAAACAAGATATTAAACAAAACTCCCTGATGTTACTGTGTCGACCCAGGACGAGCTACAGGACTGTGAAGCTTTAGGGGTGTTGATGCACTCGATCGACTTTCGATCATCATTCACCATCCAGACGTAATATTTGACAAAAACATGATTTTCTCAGATTTTTGCTCAAAATGTTGATTTTTTTTTTTAATGAAACTTCCCCACATTCAAGTCTTGATAAAAAAAGAATGCATGAATCTAGAATAAAACAGTTTTTTTTTTTAGAGCAGAGGCTTTAAAATATATCTTTTGATATATTGCATGGTCAGATATTCATACAACAAAATATTCTGGGGCCCATAAAAGTTTTGTGAAAATGATAAAAAATGTGTATACATCCCTATTTTAGCTGGCGGAGAAAGAGTTAAAATGTAATTTATTCCTGTGATTAAAGCTGAATTTTTAGCATCATTACAACAATTAAAAAATGATAAAATTTCACTGAAAATGTTGGATCGCAAAAAACACAAAAGTGTGTGTCAGGCCACATACACACACACACACTCCAAAGTCCATTTGCTTTAATCATTGATCCATTCAGATCCAAACATTCCTATAATTCAGGGACAAATTAACAGAAGCAAAAACATTAACATTCCTATGCAACTTGAGTTAATCTGAGCCAAATAACACATACTCCGTAACCCGAAGTTCATTAAAACGAACGCCCGTAGTCGTGCATATGTTAACTGCACCTTTGGCCCTGCGGATGAGAGGCAGGAAGGCTTTGGTGACTCTGATGGTTCCCCACAGGTTGACCTCTGACACCTGCCTGTACGTGTCCATGCTCGTGAACTCCACCTCACCGAACGTGGAGATGCCAGCATTGTTGACCACAGCCCACAGACCTGCACAACACACACACACACACACACACACACACTCAAGCTCAGGCTTGTGTAATTCAGATGAGCTGACATCCTGAGCACATTCACACAGTTGTGAAAAATACACATACATACACTGGAAGTCAAAAGTCTCTTCTGCTCACAGAGGTAAAATTTGATTAAAAATACAGTAATATTGTGAAATATTATTATTTAAACTAATAACTGTTTTCTATATGAATGCATTTTAAACTGTAATTTGAATTTTCAGCATCATTACTCCAGTCTTCAGTGTCACATGATCCTTCAGAAATCACTCTAATATGATGATTTGCTGCTCAAGAAACATTTATGATTATTATCAATGTTGAAAACAGCTGCTTCATATATATATATTTTTTTGGAAACTATGAAACACTTCCATCTGAAAGTTTGGGGTTATTTTAAATTGAAATTAATATTTTTATTCCGCAATGATGCATTATATTGATTCAAGTGACAAATACATTTATAATGTTACAAAAGATTTCGGTTTCAAATAAATGCTGTTCTTTTGAACTTTCTATTCGTCAAAGAATCCTGTCGAAAAATAGAAAAGCTATTTTCAAATGTAATTATATTATATTTCACGCTATTACTGTTTTTTTTACTGTATGTTTGATCATATAAACGCAGCCTTGGTGAGCAGAAGAAAACATTGAAAAACCTTAACTTTTGATCACCAGTGTAAAAATGTTTTTGCCTGCCATATTAAATTGTTAAATCTAATAGCTTATGATAACAAATATACTCACTTTTGTAAATATGAAAAATATTTTCATTGTCGATCATCTTAAAAACATTACAAGTAGAAATCGGCTGACGGCAGGTTTTATTCTGGGATGTGTTTAATTATTAACATTAGAAAAATAATAAAAGACTAATATATCAGCATGGCTGGTAAGTTTTCCTGTTTGGCCAATTAGTTTCAGAAACAGGATTTTTATTAAATTTTGACAATCTTCTTCACTTCTGATCTTGCTGGTTTAGCTGATATTTCCATATTTCCTCTGCACTGCCATCTGTCGTTTGATTCTCTACACAGCCGTAGATGGTGTGTGTGTGTGTGTGTGTGTGTGGCACAGTGATTGACAGCAGGGGGCGGAGTCATTATTCTCTCTAATCAAATGAGCTTTAATAGTTTACAGCACGCTGGTAATAACTCTTCACATGTGCTATAAACCATATGACTAAATCAATGAGCTAAAAATCAGACACGCATAAAAAATAACGAGCAACATATATTACCTTGAAATTAGGGCATAACACTATAAACCAGTTGACTAGTTTACAAAGCACATTAATATTCACTAAGATAGACTCAAAACTGAAGCTGATCCTTGTGTTTCTCCTTGATTTAAACACTTGAATATGTTGAAATAAATCATATTTAAACTGAAGACACTTATAAACTGATCACTGAAGAATCAAGGCTGCAGTTGTGTGTTCCTGTATATGCGGTTTATGAGGACATAAATGTGTATAATGACATGGGTATTACAACGTAAACATGGTTTATGAGGATACTTCCTGTGTCATCATAAACCAAATGGCTTAAGCCGTTGACACATCTAACGACTAGCTGAAACGTCCTAAGACTGAACTGAACACACTTGCAGACTGTTTCATCGACTGGAGCAGATTTGAAACACCGACTGTCTCTAACTCAGTCGTAAGTATCAAATGACAATCAGCCTCACAATAGTTAAGTGTGTCCCCGGCTTACATACCACACTTTTTTTTCTTATGCAGAACGTTTTCTGTGATGCGTAGGTTTAGGGGTAGGGTTAGTCTAAAGCCCTATTCGCACAGCTAGTATTACCTGGTGACATCTAGTCATTTGTAATCATTGCGGAGGTTATCTGTGATCTTAATCCCGCGTGAATCGGCCATGTCTGTAATCTGTAAAGTAAAAATTCCCCCGCAAATTATCTACAACATTTCACTGAACACCGAGGTCCTGTGATAAAATTAGTCCCGTGCGGATCGGCATCTCTGTGATTTGGCGCGGTCGTGAATAATTTTTTCAAGGTTTATGTTTCTGGTGCACTTTTTTATCCATCTTTCGCTGCGTTGGAGTGTTTTGATAGTATTTTGGGCGCTGGGTCATATCGCCATACATCATACAACTAACGTACACAATTTGCAGAAAGAGAAAGCTGAAAATGTATAACAGCATGCGGTGAGGAACATTCTTCTGTTTATGATATATCATACAGCTAGACATATAACGATGACAAGACATTACAATAGCCTATTGACATCATATCCGGGAGATAAGTCAGTAAATTCGAGTAAAATCACAGGCTTCGCTTATCCCGTGCGAATGCGCCACACGGACTTCAGATGTGAGGCAGGGAGGGGGGGGGGGGGGTTTCTAAATCACACGAGGTCCCCAGATAACACTAATCCCGTGCGAATAGGGCTTAAGTG